TATGCAAATCCTGTGTCTGCTGTCAGTTTTGGGGGCTTCAGCAGTGGCTGATGAGGGGGGTGGACTTTCCACTCTGGGTGCTGTGCTGTGATTGGGCCAGGGAGCCCCATTTCCAGCAAACTCAGGTGGTATGCCAGGGGTGCGGGGTGTGCTGGGCTGCCCAAGGGCCACACACAGGGCTGGGGTTCTGCTTGGCAAGATGCTGGGGGAAGGAAAAAAAAAAGCACAGAATCATAGAATCACTTTGGTTGGAAAAGACCTTCAAGATCATCAAATCCATGACAGAGCAAGGACAGAAGAAAAGGGTTTATCCTCTTTCTGCAGAGCACTGGGGCTCAGCCCAAGGGGGTTTTCCAAGCCATGATTCAAAATCACTCTGGCCTCTTCCATGCAGTCATCAGCCCAGAGAGAGCCCTGTAGGGGGGGTCTGGCAACCCTGCCTGGGTGGGCACGAGGAGCAGGGATTCCCCAGCTTCTGGGTTTGTGAGCTCAGGGATAACTGCAGCTGGCCAGGAGCAGCCATGTGAGACACAGCGAAACTCAGTGCTTCGGGCCTGGCCCCCAGCAAACCCTGGGGCACCTCTGTGCCTGCAGGGGACCCAAGCAGAACCCAAACTGGGGAGGAGAGGTGGCACAGCTGCCCCAGGGGAAGCAGAGCCAGGGATATGTGTGGCAGCTGGGTCAGAGGCTGTTCAGGAAGCACAGGCAGAGCATCTGTGGTAGGGAGGTCCTACCCTACCTCTCTCTGGTGCCAGCTACAGGGCCTTGGAAGCAGCCAGACCCATGGGGATCCCCAAAGGGCTCAAGTCTGGGGGACCAACAGGGAGGGAGTGAGGAGGCCGCCAGGGGCTGGGTGGGTGCCCTGCGTCCTGCCCCGGGGCTTGCCAAGTGTTCCAGGCTGGGGATCAGCCCAGCTGCATTACCCAGGACACGGGGCATGGGATGGTTTGGGGGGCACTGGGACAGGATGTGGTGCAGACTCAGGCCACTGTGGGAGGACTGGTCCCAGCAGTCAGCTGCCTGTGGCCAGCTGCCAAGCCCAGCACCCTACCATCTGAAAAGCAGTAGAAAATCTACTTTCAGCCAGTAGAAAATTGACATCCTCCTTTCCAAAAGGCCACCTCGGCAGCAATGCAGCGAAGCAAAGTCCAAGGAGAGGGAAGGGATGGCAGCCTCCTGAGCCATCCAGCCTGTCTCTGTGGGCCATCCTTCCCCAGCCCTGGTGTGATCAAGAGCTCCCCAAAAGGACAGAGCTATCCCATGACAGCCCCTGAAGGAAGGAAGACGAGGACTAGGGTGCTCAAAGGCTGAACTCAAAAGCCCTGTTGCCCTGGACATTGCTGCCTAGGCAGTGATCTGGAACCAGGTGCCCTGGGCAGGCACTTGTCCTGCTGCAGGGATGCTGGTTCAGCCCTCTATGTGGTTGGGACATTCACCCATGACAAAGCACCTGCCAGAAACCACCTGGGGTCAAACTGCCCCGAGGCCCCAGAGGGAAAGATGCAGAGAGTGGGTTCTTCTGAAAACTTGCCTGAAAGAAGCATTTGTGAGTATGAGGAGCTGGTTCAAAGAGGGGGAAGCAGCTGGTGCCCAGGTAAACACAGAAACCAAAACCCTGCAGCGTCTGAGTGGCTGCTCCTGTGAGTGGTGACAGTGCGGAGTATGGCCACAGCCTGCGCCAGATATTTGACACGGTGACCAGAGCACCCTGCCAGCCTTTGCCATCCTGCCACACTCCTCTCCACAGTGCTGTGCCCCACCCGTGGCAGGTTTGGCAGCGTCCAGGAACCAGCTCGGCCTGTCTGCTCTTGCTGCTTTGCTTTTCAGACGCTGGGAAAAAACCCTGCCACCCAGCACCGTCATGCCCAGCTGCCCTGTGGGGTGCCAGGGTGGGCACAGCCACACATGGTCCTTCCAGCAGGCACTGTTCCCAGAAGTAGTCTTGGTCCCATGGACATAAGGACACCCAGCAGTGCTCAGAGTTGTGCTGAGCAGTGGCAGCAGCAAGCACACCCCCAGACCAACAGCTTTTCTGAATAGTCACTCCTGTGACAAGGCTTGTTACCTCCATGCTCACATGACAGGCACAGCACCTCCCAGGGCACCTAGCAACATCCTCTTTTCTTTTGCACCCTGTTGCTCTCTGCCTGTACCCTGTGCCAAGTGTTTCCCAGTAGCAATGGGCATGCTGCGGGGCCAGCGGGAGCCTGGCTCTGCCCTCCAAGTCCCCCAGCACAGGGGACTCAGGTACTGCAGAGGTGCCAGGACTTAGCACTGCTCCCACATCCAGCTTCCCTCTCTGCTCTGCAAGCACCTGGTGTGGGACAGAAAATCTCAGCCTCTGCCAGATTGAGGAGACCAGGCACAGGAGGAACCAGAGGGATGCCAGGTTGGGGAACCCAGCAGGCAAAGGCTGCTCCAGAGCCTCTGAAGGCAGAGATGCAGCTCAGAAACAAAAATAAGGTTGGTGCTGGGTAGAAGTCTACTGGGGCAAACGCCCTGCTGGGAAGTGTCACCATCCAGCTCAGCTGCAGCACCCCTGGGCAAAGGCAGGTGGCACAGCCTTGGGTGGTGTGGTCTGGGAGCCCTTGCAAGTAGATCCCCAGGTTCCGGGGGAAGCAGCCCAGGCCCAGTGAGGCTGTGGGTCCTTGGAAAGGTCATCTCGTTGCAAAGACGTGGGGTGCCCTTGGGAGGAGCCCCTTTGGTCTCTCCAGCTCTGGGCATGGCTCTGAGTCGCCCAGCAGCTCCGTGCAGGCACTGCCACCTGCAGGCGGCAGTTCCGGGGCCAGCTCTGGGCCTCTGCCAGCACCAAGTGCACAGCACCGCGCCTCCTGAGAGAGCAGCAACCCAACTGCTGCTCATAGAATCATAAAGGTTGGAAAAGACCTCCAAGATCATCAAGTCCAGCCACCAACCCAGCACTGCCATGACCACTACACCCAGCAGGGCTGCACCCTAGAGCAAGGAGCCACAACCTTGAGCTCACCCAGCCCAGCCTGCAGCAAGCTGCCAGTTAACAAGTGGAGAAAACAGCCACAGCTTCTCCTCCCCTCTGCCTCAAGCAGCAGGACTGGAGCAACTAACCCCATGCCTGGTTGCCCTGGAGGGGCAAACAGCCCCCAGCAAAACCAAACCCAGCCTACACCTCCCTTGCACAAAGCATCACTGGTGCCTCTGCCCCGAGCATGGGAGGAAAAAGGGCCCTGGATCTGGAAGGCAATGAAGGAGATACTTATGAAGTGCTCCGTGGAGCCCCAGGCTGGCCTGCGGGTGACAAGCCTGCCTTGCCTGCTGCTTTAGGCAAGTGGCATTCACAGCTCCCTGCCCTGGTAATACTGATGCAGGCCATGGGGGACGCACCCTGCTCCGTTCCTTTTGCTTCACACACCCCCCACGTGAACAGCATCGCCACAAAACTGCCCCCAGAAACATGCACCCAGGAGGCTCTGCCCATGCTAAAGAGGCTCAGCCAACAGGCAGTGAAAGAGACCCCTGCTATAACCAAATATAGTCTCTCTGCCAGAAAACCTGAGGTCATGTTTTCCTAATAGTTCTGCCTTTTATGCCGGATAGCTACAGCTGTTGGGGCCTTTCCCCTTTGTGTCCCTGGAAGGAAAGCAAGCACTCTCCGAGGTGCCAGGAACAAGCTCCACGCCGCAGAGGGGGTTTCTCAGAAGCGTTTATTTCACTGCTGACACGGGGGCTGCAGGAGGCAGCTGCTCACCGAGCTGCCCAGCTGCAGAAACGTCACTCCCCTTAGTCACAACAGTCCACGCTGGTGTCCGCTCACCTTTCAGCACTTACATTAACAGACCTACACCACTGGGACATTCACCTGCTAGGGACACCACTTCAAAGGATTAAAAATAACAATGACAATAATAATAAAGCAATCTACGAAGAAACACTTGGAGACATGCCTAAACAAGATTTTAGACTACATGGCAGATGAAATTTGATGGTTTTTTTGGCAGATAAGTGCTGACTGCTTCCCTGCCAATCTGACATGGTGCCAAGCTGGGGAGCACTCTCAGACTGGACAACAGCTCCCCATTTCCTGCCCCATAGCAGGAAACACTTCCAGGTCACAGCTCATACTTCCAAAACTACATGAGATTATGTGCTTGAAAAAGGTGCCAGGGAGTCCTGAGACTTCCTTCTGTGACACTGCTTGCTTCCTACCAAGTGGCAGATACTTAAGTGCGGAAGAGTGCCTGAGCTGTGGGGTTTCTTCCTTCTTTTCTTTTAAATAAAAACAAAAGGTGATTGGTAAAATGTTTTTCTTAGCAGAGGTGGACAAAAAAAAAAATTAAAAAAAAATCACATTACACTGGAAATCTATAGATTGGCCCACAAGAAAGAAGCAGCTATCTACTATTGCCCCATAATGAGTTTTTCTTCACCTACAGTTTCAAATTCCCAAGTTAGGTAGGGAGAGGCTGACCACAGGAAAAAAATAGTGTTTCCAAACAATTCCACTGTTTTAAATGTTATCCTTTTGAATTCTTCATGTAAAGTAGAAGTAGTCGTTTAAGGAAACACTGCCTTTTCTTCACAACATTCAGAGCTTTGGGCTTTTTTGGGTGAGAGGAAGAGAGAGAAAGAAAACAAGCCTCCCGGAGATGAAATGCTGGCAGTTTTGATACAGTCTGGAAGGAAAGCACAGTTATAAAAAGGAAGGAAATAATTTAGTGAATCTGCAGATAAAAGGGAAAAATATAGAGTGCTGACAGTTTGCACTGTGCCCGCTCCAAGTGTGGAATTACCCACCCTGTTCACATGGAAACACTGTCACACACAACTGTCAGGAGAGGGAAAGTGGACACTCACAAACCTGTAGTTTAATTTTGCAGGAATCAGTAATATAGAAGCCTTTTGTTGCCCCTCCTACTACCAGACAGAATGTATTTTAAGGCATACTTTAACATCCATTTCTTCCTAAAGCAACTTAAAGTGTAACAAGCCAAGATGTCAGACAGAAAACTCAACAATAGCTACTCTGACAGAGGTGAAAGCTGTTATATGTACAGTGCAGCATTTGCCTTCAAACAGGGGAGTCCTGACTTTGGGAAAAAAAAAAGAACCGCAGACCCAGATTCTAAAAAAGCAAACATTACCAACACAAGGAATGTTCATTAGAGTCCAGTTCCCACTAGAGCTACTCAACAGGAGGATGTACGAGGTGATTATGCTAAACTGTACTGATTGACTGTTCCCAGAGCGTGCCCTCGGGAAGGGGGCAAAACTGTGGGAGGCCAAACTCTGCAGTACCCTAGTGCGAACTGCCTCAGAGGAAAAGCCTGTAGTCCACAAGCCTTTATACCTATTGTTAGGCTTCACTAAGAGATGTAGTAGTCAGGTGTCACCCAAGAACTTCAGGACACTCCTGTAAAGGTGCTAGTCCTGCGTGGATTCTAATGCACATCCCCCATGAAGAGAGTCCTGCACAAAGCCTCCTGCACACACACATCTGCCAGGCTTTCCCTCCTCCTCGACTGCAGCCACCTCACAGCCACCAGAACCTCACGTAGACGATCAGCATGATAAAGAACACGGCTACGGCCGCCAGCTTGGCGTAAGTGGAACGCATGTTCAGGTACTTCGCGTCCTGGCGGTACTTCTTGGACAAACTGGACAGGTTGTTGGCCTTGGAATCCAGGGCTGTTAAAGGGAAAGGGGAGACAAGTTAATGAAGATTAACCCAAACACATGTTCCCCAAACATTACGCTAACTGTACAAGTTTCTCTGGAGCAGCTGGGAGTGCAGCAGCGTCACATGGCAGTACACCTTGTGCCTACGTGCAGTGCTCTAGTGCTTGTCCTGCTGGAACGAGAGCCACCCAAGCTAGTGAGATGCTGGCCTCACCCAAAAGAAGCACCAGTACCTGTCAGGTTGCAACTGATCCAATCAAAACAACCTCCGAGTCCACTGCTATGCTCAGGAGGCTCATGGACTAGCAAGCCTTTCCCTCCAGGATGCTCTACTCACCCAGCTCACCGAGGGGACAGGGAACCACATGCCAAACATCAACCATGGCCTGTACCTGAAAGTGCCTCTCCTCGCTGTAAGACTTCCTCGATGTTGGCCACCATAATCCTCTGCACATCTTGCAGCTCTGTGTTGATGGAGCCCAGATTTCTCCTCGCCCGGCTATCAATGTAGAGCTTCTTGGTTTTCTGGATGTAGGTGTCTGGAACAGAAGGGGCTATCAGAGGGAACCTCACCTACCACAGAGCAGCCTGACTGCCAAAGGAGTGGGGGCATTGCTAAGACAGCCAGCAGACTGCAAGCAAATATTCACTGGAGCAAAGCCAAGAGCCTTAAAGGAGGAAATCTGCATCAAAGGACATTTACCACTTCACATTTACCAAAGGAGTCCTTACCACTTCACTATTCTCTTGCTTAAAACACCCATTTCTCTAGTGCCAAGAAGGGGTTGAACTGTCAACTCCATAAGCCAAGCTGGAGAGGATCCTGTGGGTGCTGCTCCCCCCAGCAAGAAGTTTCCTAACTAGCCACAAGGAAAAGGACCTCACCAAATTCAATGAAGGAATAGGGCCTGGAAACCGTTGGCACCTTCTTGCCATGCTGCTCATCAAACTCTGAATGCAAGTCTTCCAGGTATGCAAAGGCCAGTTTCTTGGGGAATGCAGCTTCACACAGGACCAGGTAACACACTCCTTTCTCAATGATGTAGCTAAAATAATAGCAGACAGAGCACTCATCAATCAGTTTTAAATCTCTCCTATCAAACACTGCCCTGCATACCTTTATTCCTATGAGGCAATGAGAACTGGGTACAGGGACTTCCAGTTGGTTGTGTCCAGATCATGCACACACCTTTCTACAGAGTAATGGCTTATTGTTTTCTTTAACTAAAATACATCTTCTTGTAGCCTCTGACCCTATACCTGTGCCAAAAGCCCTGAACTTTTATTTCACTGGAACAAAAGTTGGCCTGTGAATTTCATTAGCTTAACAAAATACCAGCAACAAAAGAACTATAATTTTGGAGAAAAAAAGGGGAGTGGGAACAAAACAAAGTTTGCAAGCAGACTAGAGGGAAAGGTGGCCAACACAGCTCTATGACAACTCAGCACAGCCAAGTACTTGAGGCCCACAAACAGGAAGCTCTGCCCTGAAATTAGGACATGCACAAAAATTTAGTCTCAGCGTGCCAAAAAGCCACCGTGTGACTGTCAGTTACCATCTTCCATTTTGGAGGGCTGAGCATCCCCTTCACCCCAGCACCAGCCTGTTGCTGAGGTGTTGCTATGCACATCCGTGACCTCAAAGTCAGCTGGGGAAAAATACTGGTGCTAGATGGGT